GGCGAGGCGCCGATGTCTGCCTCGGCGCTGGAGGCGGCCGACAAGATGGCCCTGCCGAGTCCGAGCTTGGTCAGGCTGAAACGAGTGTTGTTGCGGCTCTACCGCGCCGCGGGGTCGGCGGCGACTGCGCGGGCCCGAGGTCGTGGAGGTTCCTAGACGACGGTTTCTCGATTTGCTTGCTGGGCCTGCTGGGGCCCTGGGAAGCGGCGCCGTCGCGGTCAGAGCTCTGGCTGACCATGGGCAGCTTCGCCGGCAAGGAAGGTGGCGGGCAGCGCCCAATCGCGCCGATCGCCAGCCTGCTGCGCGCGCGGAGCCGCTCGCGGCAGGACATCGCCCAGGAGCACAGGTTGGCAGCCTTTCGGGGAGTTCGTGACAAGTCGTGCGACCGCGCTGGGTGGAGGCGCGACCTGATGTGTTCCTATGGCCACTGCGTCGCCATGGAGTCGGGCTCGCTTTTCGCCGGCTTAAAGAAGGCCTACGCGTGCGTCTCGCATTCGACGCTTGGGGGCGAGGCGGCGGCAGCGCCGTTCAACCCGAAGGCTGGCGCGCCGCTTGCGCCATGTGCAGCGGACCAAGGGCGATCAACTTCCAGGACTGTTACAGCACGGCGTTCGCGGTGCCTGACGGCGCAGCGCTGGCAGGCCGCAGCCCAGCGACGACGATGGTCCAGATCTTGTTGCGCCAGCTCTCCGTGGGCATCCAGCGGGGCCATTCGTCGGTCACTCTGCAACGTCGCGGGCGACGCGTCGGCCCAGAGCATCGGCGCGGCGGGCCGCGTCGGCGAGCAGCTGGGGGCAGTGGGCAGGGGGCCCGCCTCTGACTTTACGCGCCTCCACCTGGTGCCACCTGCTGCTCGATCCCAAGAGAAGCTTGCTTCTGGCCTCCTGCTGGGCCGTCGCGAATCGCTTGGCCACTGAATGGGGGTCTCTCGGGTCTGGTCGGATGCGTTGCTCGAAACCTCGAGACTGACGCTGCCAGTGCAGGGTGCCGTCGCGCCCCGATAGCCAAGTGCAGCCTTCTCAACGGCTTTCCCTCGCGCAGGCTGCGCGCGCGGGCTTCGGTGGGCCAGCGGAAAAATTAGTTCGGCGCGCCGCTGGGGGCCTCCAGCTGGGAGTTCGCGGGGCGTCGGCGATAGTTTCGATTGCGTGGGTCATGCGCGACCTCGGGCTCCAAGCAGTGCGCGGCCTCTCTGGGAAGTAGCAGACTTCGTTAATTAGCGGGTTTCAGATTACTGCCGTCGTCTCTCGGGGCCCAGACCGACCTTGCCGAGCTTTTCCGCGGCGGTGTAATTTCTACGCTTGGTTGCGGCGGTCTGGGGAGGTTCCCCGAGCCTCGCGGCGTTGCAGAAGTGTTTCGAACACGCCCGCCCCTGCCTCCCAGGCGTCGAGGAATTCCTGGAGGGTCGCGCGCTCGCCTCCCGTCTCCTGCTTCTCTCCCTCTCCGGGTCGGGGTGGATGGGGAGTTTTGCTCGCTGCTTCGTTTCCGAGAGAGGGGAGAAGCTAGACCTGCCGTTCGCTTCTAGCCAGGCCAGGATGCTAGCGGAGCGCGCGGCCCTTGCTCGCCCAGACGTCGCCGTTATGTCCCGCCGCAAGAGAGCGGGCGCTTGGCTCGGGCCCATGTGTTGGAAGCCCTTGCGTCGGACCCAGGGAGGGAAACAGAGCGCGGCGTGGTGTGACCGCCACTGGTGGCCAGCGAGGTCCCAAGTCTCGATGACCAGCTTGACCCAGCAGACGCAGTGCGATCACGGGGTCGCGTCGCCTGGTGATTGCCTGGCGTGCCACGGCGACCCTGGGATCATCTTCCGCCGACGGGCGCATTGCCCTGCTTGTCAGTATGCCGCCGTGATATATGCGATCCTCGAGCCTCGAGTTCAAGCCGCGCTGCGTCAAGTGGTTCGCGGTGGGGAAGCGGAGATTGCTGCCTGCGGCAAGTTTCCAAACCCGATGGACTTGCCCTCTGCCTTGCTCTGCTCGTACGACCCTGAGTTTTAGACTCGTTGGGTCAATCGCCCAGTTTCTGCGCATTTGAGCGGGATTATCCCAGCCGCATTTCTTGCTTGCGAAGTCAGTCGTCGGGCAGGCCCGGCCGCGGCCACGACCGACGAGCGGGGGTCTCTCCTCGCGCGTGCCCACGGCGCCGCACCAGCTGATTTCGCCGCCTTTCAGCAAGCGAGGGGCGGGGAGGACGCCGGGATTCATGTTGCCTGCGTTTGTGTCCGGGGGGGCCGCTGAGTTTCATTATGGCTGTCAGGGCGCGATCGATCTGATTCGTTGAATCCTCGGGTGCGCATGTGGGCTTGGGTGTTCCAAAGGGTAGACTTGGGCCGGGTGACCCGCAGAAGCGAGGGCCGCGCGACCAGGAGTTATGTGGACGGGGGGCGGACGACGGCGTAGGAGGGGAATGGGAGTGGCCATGCCGATCGATTTGCCAGAGTTGGCGCTGTGTGTGACCCCGACGTGTCAGGCACAGCGTCGGACATCAAATGCTCGGCTGTTCTCGCCCGTTGTTGTGCTGTGTGGGCAGGACCCCGAGAGGTCGGAATCCTGCGAGGAACTCGTCGCGACTGTGCTGACCCACCTGGGCAGCTCGCCGACAGAGAGCAGGCCAGGCGCGTGGCCGTCAGCCGCCGCGAAGGCCGCCCCCCCTGCCTGTTGCCTTCGGCGAGAGTTCCAGGTGCAGTTTTAAGTTCCGGGGTTCAGTTTCCGCGCCCTGAGGCTATCAGGATCCAGATCAGCCGCTGTTGCTGCAGCTCCTTGGGCGCGAGCTCGGGTTTGCGTCTGTGCTCGACAGCAGTGGCGCCAATGTTTTGACGGGCCCCAGGTGTATGGTTAGCATCGCCTGTGGTGGAGGGCGCGCCTCACTTAGCACACGAGGCGCCAGTTGACCCCAGCCTGGGGCGGTGATTTCCCGTCCCGGGGGGGCGCTTTCGGAACCCACAGCCGCGGACCTGCTGCCCCTTGCTGCGCCTCGTGGGCTTCGTAGAAGGTTGGTTCGGTCCTCTCGCCTGCCCGTTCAATCCGTCTGGGGTCCGAGGCGGTCGCGGGAAGATTTGCTGAGACGACTCGGCGTCTTGGCGAAGCAGCTCGAAGTTTGGAGCCGCACTGAGCCCGAGTCTATTTCGGATGGTGATCGATTCGTTGGGGGCGTTGCTCGCCGTTTCCCCGTTTCCTGCGCTGTTTTGTTGTTTGTTCAGGCGATGGTAGCATCGTCGCGCGCCGAACTCGATGTATAGACATATAGAGAAGGAGGATAATGAGAAAAGGAGGAGGAGGAGAAGGAAAAGGAGGAAGAGAAGGAAAAGGAGAAGGAAAAGGAGGAAGAGGAGGAGGAGGAGGAGGAGAAGGAGGAGGGGGAGGAGGAGGAGGAGGAGGAGGAGGAGGAGGAAGAAGAAGAGGGCGGCCCGCGTGGCTGGCCCCGCCCCGCGGCGGGCCGCATCGGGGCAGCACCAGCTTCAAGCAGATCCCCAGGGGGGAGGAACGTGCTGCAATATCAATTCCGTTGTGATGATCACCCCGGTCGTTTAACCGGCCCCCGCCCCCATCCCCATCCTTATCCAGGCACCCGTCATCTCAGCCCCCCGGCTGGGGATATACCCTCCGAAACCCGCAGGAAACGGCCTATATCCCCATTCGGCCACTGGGGCCCAGGTCTCGCTGGTGGGGAGAATCAGGGGTCGGATAAACCATGCTCAAAGGTGGGGGCCCCCTCGGCTTCAGCCTCTCGGGGTCCCCTTGGCTTTCCTCGGTTCTCCAATCGCCGATGCAGCGCCCGATCTGCTCCACGCCGATGCATCGCCGACGTCGCCGACGTCAGCGAGACCCATACCCCCTCGATTCGTGAAACAAAAAACGACGGGTGATCTGTCATTATTGCGAAGACCTTGCGGCCGGCGGTGCCGACCCAGTGCGTAACTGGCAGCAGGAGACATCGACAGTGGGATGAGGAGAAGGAGGAGAAGGAGGAGGAGGAGGAGGGGGCACGCGGGGAAGGGGAGAGAGTGATAGGGACAGGCCTATTGGGGCCATGTGGCCATTCTAGGGTCCTTCTGGTTTGATTTTGGAGTTCTTCTAGGCCCTCTTGGGGCCGTCGTGGGGGTCCCTAGACCGCGTCGCGCCTTGAGAAAAATCACGACGGATGGTTTCTCGTTGTCTTCGCCCTGCTGGGGCCTCCACCCGGCTCCAGGACCGTTTACTCAGGACGAAAGCCAGTGCCCAGGAAGGGGTCCAGACCTTTGGGGGTCACGGCATGCAGAAATCATGACGTCGGGGGAGTCTGGGTCAGCGGCGGACCCGACTCGGCCTTCCCTTCTGCGCCTTGTCCTCCTCCCTCCCTCCCTCCTCCCTCCTCCCCCTCGCTGCTGGTTGCTAATTACTGAAGGCTTCGGTACCGCAGTGGGCGCAGCCCTGCCACTCTCCTCCTCTTCTTCGTCGTCGTCCTCCTCCTCCTCCTCCTCCTCCTCATTATCACTACCATCAGATTCATAAATATCATTAGCATCAGCATCGTCTTAGTCGTCCTCATCATCATCGTCATCAGCATCATCATCATCATCCTCCTCATCATCATCAGCATCATCATTCTCAGCATCATCATCATCATCATCATGATGATGATCATCATCATCATCATCATCATCAGCATCATCAGCATCATCATCATCAGCATCATCATCACAAGCATCAGCATCAGCAGCAGCATCATCAGCAGCAGCACCATCATCACCATCACCATCATCACCATCACCATCCTCCTCATCCTCCTGATCATTGCCCTCGCCATCCTCATCATCACCATCATCATCAGCATCCTGTGCATACTTGATCAGCCTCGTCCTCATCCACATCGACATCGTCATCACCACCATCCTCCTCCGCGTCCTTCTCCTCCTCTTCCTCCTCCTCCTCCTCCGCCTCCTCCTCCTCCTCCTCCTCCACCCTCTCCTCCTCTCCCTCCCTCCCCTCCCTCCTCACTCCCTCCCTCTCCCGGCGGGCCCCCGTTAGGGCGGCGCCAGCCTCAAGCAGATCCGGGAGACCACGGGCTGCAAGCTCCAGGTCGAGCAGCAGTCCGAGGACAGCCCGCTCCAGCGGCGCCCGGGCGCCGCCGTGCCGGGCCTCGCTGGTAGCGACGTGGACTGGGATCTTCTGCATCAAGCAGCGGCGAAGTTTCACGGCTCGCCTATAGCCCCACCAAACAATGTTCTGAGAACCTTTTGCGGTTTCCACGAGATGTTCTTAGAACATTTCTGGCGGAGTCTGTCTTGTTTCATCACATCGGGTTTATGTTCTAAGAACATTTCTTTTGTTCTTAGAACATTCTTGGGTTCTAAGAGCATTTCGTGGTATGACTATAGGAATGCCAGGACGGTCCCTGTTCAACTGCAGGCATCGTTGTGTCCGAGGCGGAGTTTACACTTAGCCCCCGCCTGGAGGGTCGATGCTCGCGGACCTCCGAAGGTGGTGGATGTGGGTATCGTTTGGCCTCCAGGGGCCAACCTACACCCATACCCGCCGCCCGCTGGGTCCCCAAGACGTCGGTTCCCAGGCGGTCGATATGGATGAGTCCCCGCCTCGCATTGTTTTTTTGTTAGGGCCTTTCGTGGTGGTCTCTTGGGCGCGATATGAGCAGCATCAGGCTCGTCGTGGCAACGCAATGAGCACGCCTGGGGGCCTCCCCAACCAGTCATGGGCCACATTGACGTCTTTGAAGCTGGAAGTGGGCAGCGGCAGTAGAGTCACAATAGATCTGGAGGTGACATCTGAGAGGTGACATCTGAATGGTGCCGAGGTGGACGGGGCGAGGATGAGGACGAGGACGACGAGGCGGAGGCGCAGACGGAGACAGAGGCGCAGGTGGAGGCAGGAGATGGAGGAGAAGCAGGAGGATGCGGCGGGAGGCGAATGGGGTGTAGGGAGAAGGATGAGGAGGAAGAGTTAGGAGGAGGAGGCGGAGAAGGATGAGGAATGATGGGGGGGAGCAAGAGGCGAGGGCCGATGAGGAGGGAGCGGAAGCGGATGCTGCGGAGGACGCAGAGGAGGCGGAGGAGAAATGGCAGGCGCTGGAGGAGGAGGAAGAGGAGAAGGAGGAGGAGGAGGAGGAGGAGGAGGAGGAGGAAGACGTCGACGAGGACGAGGAGGAGAAGGAAGAGGAGCAGGAGCAGGAGCAGGAGCAGGAGCAGGCGGACGACGACGTCGACGTCGACGTCGACGTCGACGACGACGACGACGACGACGACGACGACGACGGCGAAGAGGGGCGGGGCGGCGGCCCCCCGCGGCCGCCTGAGGACCCGGCGCAGCCCACGCGCCGGGTGGACATCTCCGGTGCCCCAGCGCAGGTGGCAGCGGCGGCGCAGCTGGTGGCGGGGAAGGCCAGGCGGCGCGCTCACGGACGCGCGCGATCGTGGATGGAGCAGCAGCAAAGGAGGAGCAGGAGGAGGAGGAGGGAGGAGGAGGAGGAGGAGGAGGAGGAGGAGGGAGGAGGGAAGAGGGGTGGTCTGAAGGAGTACTGAGCGCGAGGAGGGATGAGGAGGAGGGTGAGGAGGAGGAGGGGAATGAGGAGTCAAGGCAGGAGGAGGTTCAGGAGGAGGAGGAGGAGGAAGAAGAGGAGGAGGAGGAGGAGGAGGTGGTGCAGGAAGAGGAGGTGGAGTAACAGGAGGTGGATAAGAGGTGGAGGAAGAGGGGAAGGAGGAGTACCATGTGGCGTAGGAGTAGGAGTCAAGTTGGCCAGGTCGAACGAGTCAGCGGGCTCCGCCCATTCTTACCCTCCCTCCCCATTACAGAACATTACTTTCAGCACAACTTGATATTGCCAAGGCCTTGCGACCGGTGCCGCCGACCCTGAAGGCGGGAACTCCCCCTGGACCCCGCTGGCGACCCACCCCGGGACCCCAGGGGGGCGGTGTTCTGCTTTTGAACCCGCTCCCAGGGACCCCTCCCCCCAGCAGGGAAGGGATCAAGGGGATGGCTTCTTTTCGACTTCACTACGTCGTTCCTTCTGTTCTTCAATTTCCTTGGGGCTGACGACGACCACGAGGAAGAGGAGGAGAAGGAGGAGGAGGAGGACGACGACACGACGAGGACGGCGACGACAACGACGACGACAGCGTCTTCCACACGCCGACCGAAGGGTTGGCGGATTTGACACTGGGAGGAACAGGAGGATCAGGGGCGAGGGCGGAGGAGGAGGAGTGAGGGGGACGGAGGGAGGAGGGGAGGGAGGGAGGAGAGGAGGGAGGAGGGAGGAGGAGGAGGAGGAGGAGGAGGAGGAGGAGGTTGAGGAGGGGGAGGAGGAGGAGGAGGGGGAGGAGTCGCAGGAGTAGGAGGACCAGCGCTCCCCGGCGGTGGTCGCAAGAAGGCCTTCGTCGACCCGGACGTGGCCTACAGCATCTACATCCCTGCCGAGAAGGCGGGCCAGGCGTCGCGCGCCGGGCGGGAGGGCGCTCCATCTTCTTCCTGACTCCTATCACCAGCAGCTAGCACTGCTTTTGTTCCTCTTAGTCCTCCTCCTCCTCATCATCACTATCATCATCATCATCATCATCATCATCATCATCATCATCATCATCATCATCATCATCATCATCATCATCATCATCATCATCATCATCATCCTCATCATAGTCATCATCATCATCACCATCATCATCATCATCATCAGCATCACCATCATCATCATCATCAGCATCATCATCATCATCATCATCATCATCATAGTCATCATCATCATCATCATTATCATCATAGTCATCATCATCATCATCCTTCTCATCATCATCATCATCACCATCATCATCATCATCATCATCGCTATCATCCTTCATCATCATCATCATCATCATCGTCATCATCATCATCATCATTATCATCATCATCGTCATCATCCGCACCATCAGCACCATTAACATCATCAGCACTACCACCACCAGCATCACCATCATCAGCATCAGCATCAGCATCAGCAGCAGCATCAGCAGCAGCATCTGAATCAGAATCCGAATCTTCACCACCACTATCATCACCATCATCATCAGCAGCAGCGTCATCAGCAGCATCATCATCTTGTTCCTCCTCGTGGTCCTCCTTTCTCTCTACCACCTCCTCCTGGTACTTCTCCGGGTCTTTCTCCTGTTCTTGGTCCTTCTCTTCATGGTGTGCCTCCTCCTCCTGTTCCGTTTCCTCCTCCCGGTCCTTTTCATCTTCCCCACCCTGCTCCGCTTTGATCGTTTCGTGCGGTTCACATCACGTGCAGCGAAGGCCTGATCAGATGGTGGTGGTGGTGGTGGTGGTGGTGGTGATGATCTGAGCAGGAGGAGGAGAAGGAAGGAGGGGAAGGAGGAAGACGAAGAAGAAGGAGGAGGAGGAGAAGGACGGAGGAGGAGGAGGAGAAGAGGAGGAGAAGAGGAAGAGGAGGAGGAGGAGGAGGAGGAGGAGAAGGAGGAGGAGGAGGAGGAGGAAGAAGAGAAGGAAGAAGAGGGCGAGCGGAGCCCGGGCAGAGAGCCCTCCCGCACGCCCAGGGCGCGACGGGTGCTCGAGGGAGGGGGCGGGGACGGAGCTCGGTGGACAGTCCACGGCTGCTCCCCCCCCGCTGCTGCCCCCAGTCTGTCCCTCCCCCTCGTCGTCGTCTTCGCCGTCGTCCTCGTCGTTGTCCTCGTCGCCGTCCTCGTCGCCGTCCCCGTCGTGGTCTCGCCGTCACCCGCCTCGCCGTCTTCGCCGCCGCGGCCCTCGCCGCCGTCCCCGCTCTCCGCCGCCGCCGTGCTCGCCGCCGTCCTCGGCGTCCTCCCCGTCGTCCGCCCCGCGCCGCCCCGCCCCCCCCGAGGTGGTCGGGCGCGGCGGCGACAACCTGCGCAGGGCGCCCCCGCTCCCCGAGCACTCGCCCCCCGCCGCGCTCCCCTCGGCCGGGCTCGGCCGGGCACGCCTCGTCGGGAGCCGCGCTGAAGATGGAGCCAAGATGGCTGGAGTCGAAGTGGCCAAGGACCAGTGATCCTCCTCCTCCTCCTCCTCCTCCTCCTCCTCCTCCTCCAGCTGCTCCCCCTCCTCTTCCTCCTGCCCCTCCTCCTCTCCCGCTGCTCGCCCTCGACTCCAGGAGGAGGAGGAGAAGGAGCAGGAGCAGGAGGAGGATGAGGAGGAGGAGGAGGAGGAGAACCCAGACGTGTTCGCGTTGTAAACAAAGTATTCAGGCGGGAGTTGTTAGGCCAGTTTTGGCCTCCAGGGGCCCTCGCCGGGCCCCAGGGCCGTCAACCACGGCTCGGGACGAAATAACCGGCCTTGGGGAATAGGGTCGTTTTTTTGCGGGGGCCGCGCACGTTCGGACCGAAGTATATATGATCGAGGTTGTTTCGGGAAGGGTACCCTAATGTTCTTCCTCTTCGTTGGGTGTGCTTGTGCATCCTGGGGGAGGGTTGTCCTCGAGTGTTCTTCAGTTTGGCCGGAGGAGGGTCTCATGCTCTTGAAGGGTGTTCTTCTGTTCTAAGTCTAGCCTGTTGAGCACATTCAGACATCGTATGTATGGTAAGGAGTAGGAGGAGGTGGAAGAGGAGGAGGAGGAGGAGGAAGAGGAGGGAGGAGGAGGAGGAGGCGGAGGAGGAGGAGGAGGGAAAGGAGTAGGAGGAGGAGGAGGAGGAGGAAGAGGAGGGAGGAGGAGGAGGAGGAGGAGGAGGGAAAGGAGGAGGAGAAGAAGGAGGAGGAAGGGGAGGGAAGGGGCGGAGGAGGAGGAGGTGGAGGAGAAGGAGGAGGAGGAGGATGAGGGAAAGGATCAGGAGGGGAGGAGGAGAAGGGACATGAGGACGGAGGAGGGAAAGGAGGACGGGAGGAAAGGATGATGAGGTTGATGAGGATGAGGATGAGGACGAGGATGATGAGGAGGATGCGGAGGACGAGGATGAGAATGAGGATGAGGATGATGATTCTGCTGATTATTACGATGATCATGCTGATGATCATGCTTATGATGATGCTGGTTATGATGATGACAATGCTGATGATGATGATGATGATGATGATGATGATGATGATGATGATGATGATGACGATGCTGATGCTGATGCTGATGATGATGTTGCTGAGGATGAGGATGAGGATGAGGATGAGGATGAGGATGATAATGTTGATGATGAGGATGAGAACGATGAGGATCATGATGATGTTGAGGAGGAGGATGAGGATGATAATGAGGATGAGGATGAGGATGATAATGAGGATGAGGGTGAGGATGTTGATGCTGATGTTGCTGATGATGCTGCTGCTGCTGATGATGATGATGATGATGAGGATGATGAGGATGAGGATGAGGATGAGGATGAGGATGAGGATGAGGTGGAGGAGGAGGAGGAGGAGGGAAATGAGGAAGGAAAGGAGGAGTAGGAGGAGGAGGAGGAGGAGGAGGAGGAGGAGGAGGAGGAGGATCGAGGAGGAGGATCGAGGAGGAGGATCGAGGAGGAGGATCGAGGAGGAGGAGGAGGAGGAGGAGGAGGAGGAGGAGGAGGAGAAGGATCGAGGAGGAGGATCGAGGAGGTGCGGGGATCGAGGTTCGGACGCGTTTTCGGATGGTTTCGCCAGTTCCTGGAGAGTGTTTCGGGGGGGGGGGGGGCTTCCTGCCCCGGGAGGTTCGAGGATCGAGGCTCGGACGGGTGATGGACCAGATTCGTCGGTTCCTGGGGGGCTTCTTGCCTCGGGTTGCGTGCCAGCAGTCGCGCCCCATCGCTCCTGCTCCGTCTTCCCCTCCTCCCCCTTCGCTCTCGCGCGTCCTCCGCTCTCTCCCTCCCACTTGCCCTCGCCTCGACGGTTCTGTACTGAATACGAGTGCCAGTGCCCCACCCCCCCGATGCTGTGCGAGCGAGGCGCTGCTTCTCCCGCACATTGTTTTCTAGCACGCGGGACTCGGACACGTGATCTGCTGTGTGCGTGTGTTTTTGTGCGTCCCAAGGCGATGCCGTTCGAGGTCCCGGCCGCGCGCGCGCGTCCCCACCGTTTTCGACATACTTCGCCTCGTCGCCGCGCGCGATGCCGCGACCGCCAAAGGTGTGTTAGTGCCTGTTTTCGCAATCGGAGTATGTGTTTTGATGTCATTCCCGCCGCAGCGCTGGCCTCGGTTCAGGATCGGGGCTGTGCCCCCGTCGTTCAGAATACCGCTCTCGCCCCAGCGCGGGCCATGTTTCTGGATGCGATTCTTTCCTCGTCGTTGTCCCCCCTCCTTTCACCTCCCCCGCCTTCCCCTGGTCCTCCTGCTCCTCTCGTTCCTCTTGCTGCTGCTGCTCCTTCTCACCCTCCCTGCTCATCCTGATCCTCTTCTCATCCTGGTCATCCTCATGCTCATCCGCCACCGCCTCCTCCGATGTGTTTTTCTTACTGCGCATTGCGCGATGGGGTCACGTGGGTGACCCAGGCCCGCCTAGCGCCTAGGACACACATCGAAGGATAGCGAGACAACCAGCGCAATGTGAACGTATGGGAGGGAGGGGCAGGATGTCGGACATGGCACGCTCACCCGGCTTGTTGGGGGCCCAGGGGCGACAAGTCTCTTGCAACCGCATCACTTCAGGCCGCCATCCTAAGCGCGACGGTGTTACGGTCGACATCTGTCCATGGGGTGAAGAGCGCCTTGAAGTTTAAATCGGAGATCTTTTTTTGTGCATATGTGTGTGCAAAGTTCGACTAGACGTAAGAGTGACCTTTCGCCAGAGTGACCTTTGGTGCGTTTGCCCCCCCCCCCCCCCCCCACCACCACCCCCCCCGCGGCCCCCAAAAAGCCGCGCACCAAAGGTCACTCTTACCCAGGGTCACTCCTGCGTGTAGCCGAAAAGTGGTACGAGGTTTTCCTCTCCTTCGGGTGGTCTGACGTGTTCCTCCCTTGACCCCTCCTAACCCTCCTCTCTCCCCCATTTCCCTTCCCCGCCCCCCCGCCCCCCCCCCATCCCTTCCCCCTGCTCGCCTTCCTCCTTGCCCTCCCTCCCTCGCGCGCCTCCCCCCCATTCCTGGTACCCCACCCTCGCCCTGCTTCCCCCCCAGCATCTGAGAAGCCCGCTGTCTTCTAAGAAGGCTTCTGCCGCCCCCCTCGCGCTGCTCCTCTGAGCGTGCAGCCAATTCCTGACTCCGCGCGGTACGAGGGGGATGCCGAAGCGAGCAGGACCGCTCTGGAGACAGACCGTACTGCACGGGCTGTCTTGAGGGCGGCCCGCGCGGGCTGTCCTGAAGGCTGTCGTAAGGGCGGCTCGTGCGGCACGAGAAGGACTGGCCAAGGCGACCTGCGCACGGGCCGTGCACAGGCGACCTGCGCACGGGCCGTGCACAGGTCGCCCTGGCCAGTCTTTCTGTTCGACACGTGGGGCACGCCCAAGTCTGCAGCCAGAGAGCCTCGGCTGACGTCTTCTTTTTCTTCTTCTTCTTCTTCTTCTTATTATTATTAGTATTATTATTCCTCTTCTTCTTCTTCGTCTTCTTCTTCGTATTCTTCTTCTTCTTCTTTGTTCAGGGGGGGGGCTGGATGCTGTGGATGCTGGATGGTGGGGGTGGGTGGGGGGCTGGATGTGTTTTTGGTGGGGGGGTGGCTGGATGTTTTTTTTTGTAGGGGGAGGCTGCATGCTCTGGGTGGGCGGCACCTTGACCTTGCAGCTCCGCCTCGCCGTTCGCGGCGCGGCGTGCCTGCCGTTTAGTTCACGCGAGTTGGCCCCTGCACGGGCCGTCGGAAACCACGTTGGCCCCTGCACGGGCCTTCGGAAACCACAAGCCCTGCTCCTCCTCCTCCTCCGCCTCCTCCTCCTCCTCCTAATCCTCCTCCTCCTTCTCCTCTTCCTCCTCCTCCTCCTCCTCCTCCTCCTCCTCCTCCTCCTCCTCCTCCTCCTCCTCCTCCCCTTCCCTCCTCCTCCCTCCTTCCTCCTCCTCCTCCTCCTCCTCCTCCTCCTCCTCCTCCTCCTCCTCCTCCTCCCGCCAAGTCGTCGAGCGCCTAGGACCCCCTGGGGCCTCCCAGGGTCTCCTGGGACATCCTGGGGCTTCCCGGGGCTTCCCCAGGGCCTCGTGGATCCTCTTGGAGCTTCCTGAGGCATCCTGGGGCTTCCTGGGATTCCCCGTGGGCTTCCTGACACTTCCTAGGGCTTCCTGAAGCCTCCTGGAGTTACCTGGGGTTTCCTGGGCCCTCCTGAAGCCTCCTGGGGCTTCCTGGGGGTCGCTGTGGCGTCTCCTGAGGCCTCCTGGGGCCTCCTGAGGCTTCCTGGGGCCTCGGCTCGTGCTGAAATGCCAGCGCAGTCTTTGAGACGCGCCAGGGATTTCTTAACGGTAACCGCCATCGCGGCTGCATCAGCTGTGGCAAACCACCTGGCCGATCTGATTTCGGTCCCCAGTTGCGCCAGCACTGTTTCTTCTGTTGTGGGAGGGCGGGTGGGAATGGGCATGCCATGCTTGACTCGTTCGAGCTGGCTAGCTTGACTCCTACTCCTACTCATCCTCCTCCTCCTGCTCCTCCTCCTCCTCCTCCTCCTCCTTCTCCTTCTCCTCCTCCCCCTGCTCCTCCTCGTCTTCCTCCTCCTCCTCCTCCTCCTCCTCCTCCTCCTCCTGGTTATGCCGACGACGTCGTCGCCGGCGGGCCGGGTGCATCTTCCGTGGCTGGGGGTTGCCCATACCCACGGCCGGGGAGACCGATCGTCTTCGATCTCGGCTGGCGGTGGATATGGTCGGTATCGGGTCCCTGAGGCAATACATGCACATATATGGTCCAGGGCTTGGGCCCCCCCCCCAATGCTGATGCCATTGGGCCCCCCCCCCCGCGCGATGGTCCCCCCCGCCCCCCCCTGTGGGCGTGGCGTGGTGCTGCGCTGCGGTGCCCCCCTCCCCCCCCCTGTGGATGTGGTGTGGTGCTGTGGTGGTTCAGAGGTGGGCGTGGCGTGGTGCTGCGCTGCGCTGCCCCCCTCCCCCCCCCTGTGGATGTGGTGTGGTGCTGTGGTGGTTCAGAGGTCGTCGTCGTCGTCGTCGTCCTCGTCGTCCTCGTCGTCCTCGTCGTCCTCGTCGTCGTCGTCGTCGTCGTCGTCGCATCGTCGTCGCCGCCGTCGTCATCGTCGTCATCGTCGTCGTCGCCGCCGCCGCCGGCGTCGTCGCCGCCGCAGCCGTCGTCGTCGTCGTGGTCGTCGTCGTCGTCGTCGTCGTCGTCCCCGTCGTTGTAGTCGTCGCCGTGGTCGCCGTCGTCGTCGTCGTCGTCGTTTCGGGGACCATACCATCTGGGGGGGGGGGCCCGAGGAATCCTGGGACCATACCATCTGGGGGGGGGGCCGTGGGCCCGTAGCCCGGGACCATATATATGTACATAGTCGTATGTATGTATGCATGCATGTATGTATGTATGTATGTATGTATGTATGCATGCATGCATGCATGCATGCATGCATGCATGTATGTATGTATGTATGTATGAACAATTGA